TCATAGAGTTCAGTAAACTATCAGATTTTGCAGCTTCATTAGATCCTCCTCTTCTCATAGCAAAACCAAACAAGGTCCAGCTGATTGCAATGGATCTGCCCATGGTAAGCGGTGACAGAATTCACTGCCTTGACATCTTGTTTGCTTTCACAAAGCGTGTGTTAGGGGAAAGTGGGGAGATGGATGCCCTCAGAATACAGATGGAAGACCGATTTATGGCAGCCAATCCTTCCAAAGTCTCCTATGAACCAATCACAACCACATTAAAACGGAAACAGGAGGAGGTATCTGCTGTTGTTATTCAACGTGCTTTCAGGCGTCACCTTTTAAGGCAGAAAGTCAAAAAAGTTTCATGTATATTTAATCAGGATAAAGGTAAAGATGAGGATGATCTGCCCATGAAAGAAGATATGATTATGGATAAATTAAATGAGAACTCCACTCCAGAGAAAACAGATATGACCCCATCCACAACCTCCCCACCATCCTATGATAGTGTAACAAAGCCAGACAAGGATAAATATGAAAAAGACAAATCAGAAAAAGAAGATAAAGGTAAAGACAGCAGGGAAAGTAAAAAGTAACACATAATTCTGTTTGCGATAAACTGTTTACAGCCTAAGAAAATATGTATTTGTGTCCACAGGACTCCTGTAGGAGGTACATGCCAAACTGACAGTTTTTACATATATAAATATATATATAATTGCATATATATATATATATAAAGAAGGTCAGTGCCTATAACAAGACAGTGACCCCTCGTCATCAAACTGCAACTCTGTAAAACAGGGTAACATCTTGACAGGAGGTTGTTGTTTTTATTACCAGCTGACACTGCTGAAGAGAAGATAAAATGGCCAATCAGACTGTAGGGACTGGTTTTTAAAAAGGTGCGGACCTAGGAATCTCTGTGTTTAACGTAAAACACTCAGTACAAAAATTGTATCCACTGTTTGCATTTCAACAGCCACATCTGCCATATTTTTACAAAAATCAGTGTTGGTGAACTTATCATTTTTTAATTCACAGGTTGTTTACTATTATATGTGACTATTTTTGTAAATGGGTTTTATGTTGGGGAAGGGGGTACGAGAACCAGGTGTTCTACTCTCGGATTCTCTATATGTACAGACAGAAGTGATCTGCATGAAGGCATGCTGCACTTGTAGTTCATGCATGGAAAAACATGACGTCGCACAAAGCAGCAGAGTCTGACTACTTCCATGTTTCAGGATGGCTCTATATTTTGAGGTGCTTAAAAACAGTATACATCCAGTATCTCATCCAGATAGATCTTAATGTGCCTGTAAATTCCCATAGTCTACAAGAATAGAACAGATGTTTTATTTTTTCATAAGTCACTTAAGTGTAGTTGAATGAACTCTGCATACAAAATTTAGTGAGAGACTTGGAGTCCATTTTTAAGTATTCTTCTGTAAAAAAACATTTTACCTGAACTTGGGAAATTGGATTTACCAAACCCCACAAAACTTAAGGATTATGAAGTTGTTCTGCCTCACCCTGCAGTATCATTTAGCCATCTTCTGCTCTCAGCAAGGTTGACATTGTATGTATTGATTAAAAAAGTACCGTCTATGTAAATAGTTATTTTATCCTGTGGTGCATGTTTGAGCAAACAAATAATGACCCATGCACAATATTTATTGCATCAAATATGTACCACAATAAGTGTAGTTTGCAAGCTTTCAAGAACTAAGATGAAATATTCTGTACCATAATAGATAGTTTGGAAGCTATCACTGATGCATGTTTATCTTGCCTTTGCTGCTGTAATTTTATTCCTTCCACTGTTAAAAGTTGAATATGGGAAGCCATATCTCAGTGGTTAAGTGAAACAAATTGTTCAGTCAGACATCATTCCTTCATGACATCAAGCAATAGTTTGCAGCTACTCAAGAGCTTCTTGCTTTGCATTCTAAAATGTTAAGTGAGTACTGTACGGTGTATAGTCAGACTGTACAGGATTTGTTGCAAACTGCTGAATCTGATGAAATACATGGATAGAATTTTCTAAGAAAATATAAATATTGTAAAAATATCATTTTATTTTTTTTTCAGTGTTTTGTATATATAATAAGAAATTATAATTATCTTCAGGTTGATGTCACCGTCACTTTTGTTACTTTCTATCCATAGCACTTTTTAATTGAAGAACTTCACAAAATAAGAAACAAAGGAGAGGATGGTGGGGTAGCTTTAGGTTTCTGCTTTTTTATTAGTACTGTATTTTTGCACATATTTTAATGTGAAGTTTCAAACTGAGTCCAAAATGCACTTGCTTCCAAATAGGTATAACTTGTAATTGAAATGTGGTGGGGAAGGTTTGTTTAAAATTCTAGCACTGCCTGCATCAGAAGTTTCAAGGTAGTCTTTTTATTCATGAAATCTTTACCAGTGTTTGTTTACATAGACTATTCTTATTCTTGTTGATTCATGCTGCACTAGAACTGTTCTAAATATAATATGGGATCCACAATATGTTTCTTTTTTCCACAGGAATTGAATAGCAAACTTGTATAACTGATCACATCAGGACGTTTTGTGTTTCTTACACAAGCAAAAATTCGATGTTGACTCCTCCTTTTACAAAAAATTATTGACTTGTGTGTCAGTGAACTGCATGCAGGAAAATGCTATACCATAAAGACCAGTAAACCACATTACAGTTGAGCCAAAAGAATAAAGATTTCATTTTTTATTGTACTCAATTGTTCTGTCTTTGTTTTCATCACTACCAACTATGGCTATCAAGAGGTACTGTGACAATAAGATATGAATATGTAAAAGTTAGAAGTAAGAAATACTGATTAAAACTATATTAATAACAACGCTGTGGAAAGTAAAAGGTTGAAGCTGTATGCTTTCAGAAAGATCTCTAATATGATTTGTACTTTGACTCACTGGCTTATTAATCCTTTCAAATCTGTTCTAGGATAGGATGACATTATGTGCCTGATATGTTAAACCCTTTTTTATGTCAGGTGTTCTAAGAGAACTAGGAAAACAAATGTTAAAGGAACCAGCGACTGACACTACAGAACAGTATGTATCATTTCAGTGATATTCCATGTATTTCAGTGATATTTTACATTTGAAGTCAGTAATTATCTTTGCATTATAAGGAAGATCTTGTTTTGTAAATAGTTATAGTTTGTTCTTTCACTTCAAGGCAGGTTAGGGTGGAAGCCAGCAGAAGCTTCGCTTGAACTTCTGGTGAAGGACAAAATTCATAACCTTTTTTTAAATCTTAGGGTGCTGAATGGAATTAGAATGAATAAAAATACTATAATGTTATGTTTCTATGGTGAATTTATACACGGTGCTGCCAAGGAGCTGGCGTACATACCGGGTGTTGAGCATGTGCTTGTAGGAGCACTGGTATGGGGATGTAGGAGGCAGGCATTAAACAGATGGGGTGGCAATGGAATTGAGGAAAAAAAGTGCATTGATAGCATCAGTCTTGTCATGCAGATTTCCTCATTGTGTCTCAGCTTTATGGAATCCATCAAGAGATTGGATCCATCAAGATGAGAAGAGGCATAAATGGCTTTTAACTGCTTTGTGTATACGAAAATAATGCTAGCTTGTTTAAACTTTTCCTCTCTGAGGGACTTTTTTATAAGTTCAAGTGATAGGATATCAGAAGAAATAGTACTTTCCCATCCACCTACTGCTGTTACTTAGACATAAACAGAACTGTGAAGTTCATATGAGACTTAAATTTTCTTAATTTCCATTTGCCATTATAACTTTTTTTTGTTACTAACAGTTTTGGAAAATAGTTTTCCAAATTATTAGGCAGGTCCTCTCCAGCTGGCGGTGTCGCACATACTTTGTTCTTTTTATCACTAAGAGCGCAACTGTGGGATAAGTAACAATAAGGTATTTGATTGCTTTTTTTCTTTAATGGAGAAGCAAGGCATGGGATAATTAAATTGCTCAAGGTCTCATAAAGTTACTCACCAGAAGAAGCTTTCGGAGTTTGAACTGGTTTTGGAAACTAATTTCAGTTGTTTGCAGCCAGTCCCACGATGTCAATTCTTACAATCCAAAGAAAAGTTCAAATTTGGCATTAAAACACTAGTGACACATTTATAAGGAAAAAAATAACAGTTACCTGACAATTCCTAAGTGCTTGGTCATTTATTTGCAATTGCTCTTGTTTTAAGAATATGTGCCTTGGATCAAGGTCTTTATAAGCAGACTATCCATGGAGCCTGTACAGAAACAGAGCTGTTTTCTGTACAGTGGAGGAACCAGATACTGTCGTGAGGCTTTATTCTGACTGCAAGGTATGACCATTCTCTGAGTGCATTAAAATGAGTGTTAGTGTACATCCTTGCAAAGTCCTCTGTGGTTCTGAAAAAGTTTTTTTTTTGCAATAGCAAAAGCCGAAGAGCCAAATTTTGAGGTAGTGATTGCACTCGAGTGCTGTTCCTGAAAAGAAATTTGCTTTGCTGTAACTGTGAAGTGCTGCCTTAAGCATGTTAAAAGCTGGTAAATATGGGCAACACCTTAAAGTTCTGGCTGGTTGGTTTTGTGGCAGGAGAGGTATGACAAAAAAAGGCACGTGCCATATGAGTTACCGCATTTAGAAACAACCTGGCTCTTTACTAGAAGCCTAGGACCAATAAAAATACAAGTAGGCTCGCTTTCGCTCGAGGACCCCCGCCTTGCCTGTACACCCGCACCCTCGCTGCAGCCACACCGCCATCCCACCGAGGCACCTCGCGCGCTCCCCCCGGGGTCGCGGCAGCGCTCCGTCGCCACCCACCCCGCACCACGGCGCCGTCCCGCGGCCGCTCCCCGCGCTGCAGTCGCGCCGCCCCATCGCGCACGGAGCGCGGCGCTCAGAGCGGCACGCGGCGGGCAGGTAGCAGAAGCCGGCGGCCGTAGGGCCAGGTGAGCGGCGCGCAGCGGAAGGCGGCCGCGAGCTCTGGCGGAGGAGGCGGGCGACCCACGCGCCCGCGGGCGGCCTCAGAGCGGCGGCTCGAGCCCAACGGCCGCCCGGCGCAGGCGGCGGCCTGCGGGAGCCGCTCGGCGTGGCTGCGTGGGACGTAACAGCGGCGCGAGGCTGGTGGATTCGGTGAGGACCTGCGGATGTGTCGCGCGTTCACGCAGGAGGCGACGGCCAGAGATGCGCCGACCGCTTCCTGGTGTGAAAGCGGGGCGAGTCGCGCTCCGCCAGGAGCTCCCGGGCGGCTCTGGGGGTGGCCGCCGTTCGGTGCTCGGAGCGCTCGGGGGCGGCTGTGCGGAGCCGCGCGTAGCTCTTCACCGGAGCGCTTTTGGAGGCCTCGGCTGCTCGGGGAGGGCGCGCGGGTGGCCACGGGGCGTCGGGCGCCGCGTTCGCTGCCTCACGGCGCGGATCTGCGCCAGCCGCGGTGCGGGGACTCTGCGTGCGCGTCCCTTCGGCAGTGCGGGGCATCGGGCAGAGGCGTCTGCAGCCGGCCGCCGCAAATGGCCGCCAGGTGAGAGCGGCGAGCCTCTTTTTTTTCTCGGTGTGCCGACGGGAGAGTGGGATTTTAAATCAGGGCGTACGAGGAGAACTAGCTGTAAAGCTGATGGGTGTTATTGCTGCTACTCCGGGGAAGAAATAAATGCACGGGAATGAAGGTGTTCGCGTCCAGCGCACCCCATGAGCCGCAGCTCCATGGCGCTGGGCGGCCCTGCTGTGCTGACCGATGGCCGCGCGGCTGCTCCGCTGCTCCTTTGTTTGTGGCCGTGTCTTCGTTTGGTACCAATCGTGGTTCGGGTCGGCCCGGCAGCACGCTTTGCTAGTTGAGGATAAGTCACCAAACACGTTGACCCCTACTTGTTTAGAACAGGGAGTGCACTGCGAAGCAAGAAAATCAGAGCCTGCAGAGGTGGCTTCTGTTTATCTTTGTAACTATTCAAACCCTTATTTATGGGTGTCTCAAATTCAGCTGGTTGAACATGTGTACTCTTTTGACCTGAAAAGAACACGGCTTTCTGCTAAGAGCGGAGCTTCCCTGACTGGAGGGGGCGGTCTGTGTGCAGTGGGGTTGGGGCTCCCAGCCACGGCGCACCTCCCGGGTGTGAGGCACGTGAGCGCGATCTGCCCGGGGCTCTGCTAAATTATTTCTTGCCTTTCTCGTTGCATAGCAATTTCAGAAATAAGCGACAACTGTGAGAGATCGTAGATGTGTTGTTGTAACACATCCGCTACTGTTAATTGCTGCAATTGAAAACCAAGATGCCTTGTAGAGGCAGCATGAGTTGGTACGGGTGGCACTGATGGCACAGCAGCAGCCTCCATCCTGCAAGGACATGTGTTCCTGTGGTCACCGTGTGTGTGTGTGCTCTGGGTGGAGAGGGACAGAGCGGGGCTATGCTTTGCCCTGGCCTCTTTCCTCCTTTTTTAATAGTGAAATGTAAGTAGGGGAGTCTTTACAGGTGGTCAGTAGTGACTAAATTTGGGATAACGGGCCTGAGAGAAGGACAGCTGGTGGCCCTGGTGTCTGCTGGTGCTTGTGTGAATCTGAGAAATGAGCTTCATGTGAAGGACTGATAGATGCAGGTATGACGATCTGAAAGAGTAAATATTTTCCTGCTTTGGTTTGGTTCTGTTTTTACAGTTTGTGGTATGATTTGTGGCATTACATGAGGTGCTCTCTTACTGAGCAGCCCTATTCCTCACTGTCACACCTGGGGCAGAGACGCTTCTATTTTTGCTAATTCTGAAAAATGATCAAATGAACACACCATTACGTTTATAAAATGTCACCCTTCGAAGCGTTGCACACAAAACTCCATCACTCCATTGTTGTAAATCGCTTGACCTCCAGCACAGCTTAAATGTATTTGTAGTTTTTGCAAACTGGCCGTCACTGTTTCTTTTACTCCGACCTGCCCAGCTGTTGTCGGGCGCTTTGCCGGAGCGGCTCCCGGCAGCGGGGCGGCCTTGGCCCGGAGGAGCGGCGCAGTCGAGCTGCGGCAGCTGCCCTGAGCCGCACGTGGGGTGGGTGGTGCGGAGAGCGAGCCGCAGTCACCGCTTCGGGCAGGGGCGCGCGCTGTCTGATAAGCAAGCGGTGTTTGGGAAGATTAACGAACTGATTTCTGCATTCTTCAGACATTTGATGCCATTGTACGTATTTAACAGAAAAATAAGTCTACCATCTCTGAAGGACTAGTGGAGTGGACTCTGAAGGCAGTGGAGTGCTGCAACAGGTGTGTTTGGTTGTGTGGTGATTCTGTGCTGTTGCGGGGATCTTTTGATTGGCATTTGTTTTGCTGCTTGTTACTCACACCTGTGGGAGCAGCTTGTGCTCAGCTGGGGATCGTGTGGGGTGGCTCCTCTTTTGTTACTGGGTGAGAACAGAGGCACAGAGGGCAGGCTGTGTGTATAACTAATCCTGAAATGCTGCTTTAAACAGTTGCGTTTTAAGTCTTGTTTTACATAATCTGTCTTATGCAGTGCTCTTTTTTGCTATATGTCTCAAGCACTTTAGTCTTTTATTTAAGATCTGTTTATTGGCACATGCATCTATGGGCATAGTATAAGCTGTTGGTGCATGTTTTGTACCAAGTGTATCTGGGAGGCATACACAAGTTGATATTCCTGTATTGCTTGTAATAGCTCTGTTTTAAATTCTTCTTTGCTTGCCTTACTCCGTATAAATGACAGATATATGTCACTTATTTATCCTGAAGATTTGCCAGGTATCTGTGGGAGGAGGTTTGTGAATAAGATTTGAGGGAGCCTTTTGCTTTCAGGCTGAGCACATGTGAGCGCTTGTGCAGAGAAGCCCAGGGGCGGTGGTAGCCTGGCAGAGGTTCCTTTTCCTGCCTGGCTGTGCCGTGATGGACTCGTTCTGCAGTTCCCATGGCAACAGGGATTTTTGATCTGCAAAACAGAACGCTGTATACGGTTTGAGGAGCTGTACATTCCCTTTATTGCAGATGCTATTTTGATGCGTGAAAGGAGCTGGGAAAGCTCCCTCGTGTCCTTGCCTCGTCCCCCTTTTAATAATCTGCATCTTGTTTGTAAGATGACATGGAAAAGCACATTTTTCTTTGGCTGGGCTAGCTTTAATTTTTGACGTAGTATGGTAGAAAATTGGTTAAGGCTCACTGTAATTATGTGAGAAACCTGCTGCTTCCAGGTGGGCAGAAAGGGCCTCAGCTGTAAACAAGGTAAACATTTACATGTATACATGTAAAACACTGTGAGTAGAGTTGCTCAGGATTTGCATTGGCTGCTGCACATTTTGCTTTGACTTGCTGGACGTAATTTCCAACACATGTTAAAATGGGCTTACACATTTTAACACAAGAATATCAACATTCTAACCCATGCAGAGAAATTTGTAACAGTTGCAGTAATGTGTTTTTTCATGTGCGTGCTGACTACTGGCCTGTTCAAATGAAAGTGTTAATGATTTTGCCTGGAAGAACTGATGAAGGTGGGGTGGGACCTGGGGTTGCGGTCAGAGCATTGGACCCACTGATCCTATCTCATGCGAAGCTGCCCTCCCAGCAGTGCCGGTGCGGTGATGGAAGTTGGAGCGTCCGCAGCTGCTCCTCTGCTGGTTACATGGGATGTCGGGTGTTGACACTCAGTCGAGTTAGAGAGCTCTCACAGTTTCTTGTAGCCTCAGAATAGTTCTCAGAATAGTTCTAATTTATTGTGTTCAACATATATCTTATATACTGTTCACTTACTAAGATTTCCTGTCCCTCTAATTGGTTAATTGGGCCTAGCTTCTCCCAAACAACAGTGGTAAAGGATGAAAGGTTTCTTAAGTGTGATAAGATTAACAGTGCCTACAAACAGAACCTCCTTTTTACCCCTAGACACAAACAGATACCATTTGCTCTCTGTCTTACACTCCACACTCCCAGGGTTTCACAGTGATAGAGTCTGTCAAGGAGTCTGATAAATTCTTTGGTGACTTGCTCACAGTTACATCTTCCCTCACAATTGGGGTTGTTTCCCATTTCTTTTTTTTGAGAACTTGTTCCAAAAAAGGATCCATTTCTAACTCATTGGGCTCCCCACACATCTCTTGTGATCCTTTCCCCTCCCCTTTTGGTAAATGATGAAGAAGAAAATAGGAATGATGTGGTTATTGAAGGAAGCAGAGGGTGCAAACTAGTGCGTGTGCAAACTAGGTAATTGTGTTGTAAAATCCTCTGAATACTACAGGTCTTTGTGAGGTCTTTGTGAGTCTGAAAGGCAATCTCAGAATGCATTAGCAGCAAAGCCTGTTCCCAGAGACCAGCTGTTTTTTACATGGTCTGTGCTGGGAGTCCACAGTCTCTCCTTGCCTCCATCACCAGGCATGCAGGGTTTTTATGGAACCATGGCAATGGAGCTGTGCTGCTTTGAACTTTGCAGCCAAAGCTGCTTGTCCAGCTGTGTGTGGTTTTTGTTTTGTTGTAAGGAGAACAGCAACCCAGTGTTTGGGCAATAACTTCACCCAAACATCCATCTGTAGAAAAGCTCTTGCTGGTGCTACACGGGTGCATTGAAGCGTGAGATGATCCCGGGTTTTACAAGTGAAGCTTGAGCTGCCCCAAAAGTGCTGAGTTTTTCTTCTTTTTCCTTTCTAGGAGGTAGATTAAATGAGGTAGAGGCATGTAGCTTGGCTCTCTGTGCTATCCTTCTCACAAAGAAAAACTTTTAAATCAGCAGAGCACTGATGTTGAACAACAGTTCCTAGCCTGCAAAAGTGTATCGTTCAGATGCTTTGCTTGGTGTATGGGCATCTTCATCTGGGGTTTCAGACAGATCTGAAATGTACAAATTATGGCAATGAGTGTGCAGCTGTGTGTGGTGACAAGTAGCATCTGGCAGTGCATTGCATACCATCTCTGCCACTGCTCCCCACCTCAGCTCATTTGTGTGAATGTGAAAGCTTATTGTGAGATCTGTCTGCCTGGTTTTGCTCGTCATACCAGGCATTGGAGTCCTTCACAATTTGTGGACTTTTGCAAGAGAAGGTGATTGCTTGGGCATTAGGCTTGAGAAATGCTTGAAGTTTGGGAGAGGGCATCCCTTAAATGCAGTTAACAAATAAGAGGAGCTGTGAGTTGTGGTCTCAGATCTTTTCCATTGTACGTGTT